CTAGGAGGCTGCCATCCCTCTTGGTGGGACCATGGCATTGAAGACAATTCAGGAGGGCAAATGTCTTTCTTGATTTCCGTCTGAGTTGAGTGGAATGGGGTTTCTGGGAAGGTCTAAAGAGACCCTAGGACTTCAGAAAGATCAATTTCTGTCTCTGCAAGGCCCAGGTCATTGATTGGAACAGAACCAAAAAGATTGTCACTGTAGGCACTTAACAGTCACTCCCACCCACTAATTCTACACACATTTCCTGGGTACCTGGGCATCCTGGGACAGAGCTAGGAGGTAAGGGGACCAAAATCAATAAGAAGCCACCTAGGGAAGAGCCACAGGGTTGTGGGGAGCAGTGGCCAGTGAGAAGAAAGTGGTGACATGTGTAACAGGTATGGTACTAGCATGGTGGAGGAGAGGGCATGGGGTCATCATTCCACAGAGAACACCTGGAAGGTAGCTCACTAGTGTGGCAGGGGTGAGGAGAGCTTTTCAGAAGGTCTTAAAGGCAGTGGCAGAAGCAGCATATTGTGCTTGAACGGTGATGAAATGCTGTCTACCTGACTATAGGAGCAGAGGTAGAAGCTGCCTTGTCTCCAATTTAATGATCAATTCCAAGAAGGAATTCTCCACTTGTTAAATCCTCCAGCAGCGATCACTGCTCACTCTAGGCCTCCATTAAATGCCTACCATGGAGCAGCCCTTCCTCATCAGCAAAAGCCTCCCCCGCTTACTGGTCTCACAAGACATTGTGAGAAGGCCAAGTGGGTCTCTTTTACCGAGCGCATCTTGCCTTTTGTCTAATGAGGTGTGCACTCAAACCAGAACCAGGGTTATTCTCCTGGGGAACCCCTGGATCCAGTTCACTTCAACCTGAGCATTGTATTTCTCTGGGTTTGCTTGGGAGGGTGACTTGCTAGTGCAAGGCGGAGGATACAAAGTGTGCAGGTGAACTGGCTTTGTTACTGAGTCTGGGAAAGTGTCCTCAGGCTGAGACAGCTAGGACAGGGTCTGGTCACTGTCAGAGCTGTGTGGCTCAGCCTGCCCATGGCAAGGAGAGAAAAGGAAGAGAGACACATAATAAAGGCCATTTGCTCTGCCACTGGTACCACCTTTCAAACAAATGATCTAATTTGCAGTTTCTGGAAACTTTTGGAAAAATGAATCAAAACCCCGGGCTAACTGAAATGCTGCAGTTACATGTTTTAAATGGCTCTAAAAATGTATATTTTGTGAAAATGAAATCAAATATTGAAAGGCTTCAGCATACTTGTGAAAACAGGCATCCTCTTCAAATCAGGAGGCAGCTCTTTTGACTAGCTCAGTGCACTTTGCAAATAATATCTCATTAAACCGCTCCACGCCCCTGGGAATCAGGGAGCTGCAGACTGAAGGCTGCTTTCTTCACACACAGTAGGGGAGGTCTGCTGCCTCATAGGAAGCTTCGTGAATGTGTACTACCCCTAGGCAGGGAGTGTTTGTTCTTCATGGTGTAGCTCAGAATACAGGCAGAGTAATGGCTCTGCACATTTTCCAGTGCGATTGGCCTTCCCATCACCAGGAAATGGGTCCCCTGTCCAGCTGGCCAGAGCCCTGTTTCAGCCTCCACTGAGTCCTACTTTGGGCTGACTCTGCACTCAGAGCTGAGATCCAGGGACAAAGAAAACACCACTCCCACTCTTACGGGGTTTACTGACCAGTGGGCAGGAACACATGAGCAGGTCTTTTCATTACTGTGGCCTGTGATTTACTCAAGGTAAGTCAGAGATCAGCTGATCTAAGCCATCTTGCCGTCCTTCTGTGCTCTCAACAACCAGCTGGCTGTACCCCAGTCCTGTGGCAGCCACCGTAGATTAGCGACTCCAGTTCCAGACCTCTTCCCTTCCTGTTTCGTACTGCAGAGAATGTGGACCAAATATATGTCTGTCCAGCCTCCCTGATAGCTAGAGTGGCCATGGGACCCAGCTCTGGCCAATGAGACAAGCAAAATCTACAGGGGAGTCTGCAAAAGCACTGTGTTCTGATTAAGAGGGACAGCCAGTCTGCCTTGTTCCTTTGGCTTGCCTTGATTAAGGTCATGATGGCCGTAGCTACAGCAACAATCTTGTAACCATGAGGGATAAGCCAAAAGAATTGCAGGTGATCCTTAAGCCTTTGGTCCAGTACCATCAGCTGTGTACTTCTAGACTTTTTGTCATGTGAGAAGCAGATGGGCCACCAAGATGAGGTACTCTTAACTGATAAAGGCCTCTAGTGGGCAATCAATAGTGACTAAAAGCCAGGCACTGGTGGTGACTCATCCCTATAATCCTAGCCACTTGGGAAACTCAGATCAGGAGGATCATGGTTCAAGGCCACCTAGGCAAGTAAGTTGTGAGATTCCCCACTCCAAAATAACCAGAGCAAAATTGACTGGAGGTGTATCTCAAGCAGTAGAGCACCTGCTATACAAGCACAAAGCCCTGAGTTCAAACCCCAATCCCACCAAAAAAGAAACAGTGACTGAAGTCATAAGTAATGTGATCATCTGAGCTGAGTCATAAAAGACTGGGGTGTTCTGGGAGAAACCAAAACAGCTTTAAGTGGAGATGGTAAGCAGGAGGTCACAGGCAGTCTACAAAGAAAGCACAGGAAAGTAGCTCACGTGGCTGTGTGTAGAACACAGCAGGCAGGACCACAAGTGACAACAGCAGCCAGGTTAAAACCATTTCCTTAGATACAAAGAGGGTCCCAAAAAGGCTAGATCAAAAAGAATTAACCTAGAAGGTAACACACACGCACAGGAAATCAATGTGAGTCAATGCCCTGTATAGCTATCCTTATCTCAACCAGCAAAACCCCTTGTTCCTTCCTATTATTGCTTATACTCTCTCTACAACAAAATTAGAAATAAGGGCAAAATAGTTTCTGCTGGGTATTGAGGGGGTGGGGGGGAGAGGGAGGGGGCGGAGTGGGTGGTAAGGGAGGGGGTGGGGGCAGGGGGGAGAAATGACCCAAGCCTTGTATGCACATATGAATAATAAAAGAGAAAAAAAAAAACAAAGAGGGTCCCAAGTTCCAGTGAGCCCCCATGCTACCCCACAACTGCACGATGACAACCAAGGCCAGAGGAGAAGGGAGTGAGTGCCTGCCTCTGTTGGCCACTGTATTAGTTACCTGATGCTGCAAAACTAGTTATCCCAAACACAACAGCTTCAAACAGCACAGTTATTTGCTTATCATTTTTATTATCTCACAAGTCCTGTGGCTGAGGAATCCAGATATAGCTTATACTTCTTCTGGCTCAGAGTTTCTTTATTGATCCGAAACAGGGCGTTTGCAGGGCTGTGGTCTCATCTGAAGATTTGACTGTGGGAAGATCTACTTCACACGTGTATCATTGTTGGTTGGCTCAGTTCCTCATGGGCTTTGGCCAGCAGAGGTCTCCCTCAGTTCCCTGCCCTGTGAGCCTCTCCATGGCAGCTCACAGCTGGTTTTATCAGAGTGAGCAAGAGGAAAAACAAGAAGTGGGTCCTTTTGTAACCTCATCTCAGAAGTGACATCCATGTACTTTTGCTATATTCTCTTCATCAGAAGAAAGTTACCCTGAGCAGCCCACTCTGCAGGTGACTGCAGGTGACTACCAGGAGGTGAGGACCATTGGGAGGCACTACCACCTCCTTTCTTCATCTCCTCCCTTGTCATGGTGGAGTAACATTATCCCCATCTTGCAGATGTACAAACTGAGGCTCGGCTCAGGGGGGTGGGGGTGGGGAGGCTGTGATTTGCCCTCAGTCTCACGGCCACTGTGAGGTACAGCCAGGTGTCAGAGGGAGGCCTGGCTCCAGTGGACTTCTTCAGCACCACCTCCAAGGGGCAGTGTGCCAGAGGCAGTACAACCATGTCTGCAGTGGGCCCTGCAGCCTGGGCTTATCCTGGTCTCCTTTAACCTCAGCCTGGTCCACAGTGGGAAGGTCAGAGGATGGGCCTGACCCTCTCTGAGTGTTTGGGTCACAGATAAAGGACAATGGGTGAAATCAGAATGAGGGCCGAAGATTACAAAATTGTCCTGTTATAATGGCAATTTCCTGATTTTTAATCATTGTTTTGTAGGTAGGTAAGAAAATGTCTTTGTTCTTAGAAAACATGCTGCAGTATTTGGAAGCAAAGAGGTATTATATCTATAACTTACTCTCAGACATTTCAGGGAAAAAATTATGCACAGGTATTTATAGATAGCCCTGTGTGTGCACAGAAAGAAAGACTAAATCATCAGCCAGTAAGGTAAAATGTTAACATTTGGGGAATCCGGGTAAGAGTATATAGTAATTCTCTGTACAAGGTTTTGCAACTTTTTTGTAAGTCTGAAATTATTTCCTTTTTTTGTTTTGGTGGTACTGGGCTGAACTCAGGGTCTCCACTTGAGCCAGGTCCCCAGCGCATTCTGCTTTAGTTATTTTCCAGATAGCATCTTGTTCTTTATTTGCCCAAGGCTGGACTTGAACCATAATCCTTCCAATTCCCACCTCCTGAGTAGCTGGAATTACAGGTATGTGCCACCATATCCCAGCCATTAAATTATTTCAAAATGAAAAGTTTGTCAAAAGTGCCAGTCAACTCTGGAACCTCATGAGTTCTATTTGGATTATCAAAGGTGACATTATGGGAATCTTTCAGTCCTCCTTTGGGCCCAAAAGTAACCTATTCGAGCCCAGAAAGGGCATAAGGGTTAAGTGCAGAGCGCAGGCTCTGAGTTAGGTGCCTGTATTCCAGTCCTGACCCAGGTGCTTCCACGGTCCCTGAGCCATGTAAGTAACCATTCAGGGTTCTTGGGAGGTTTTGAAGAAAAGGTGTACAGCTTGATGTAGCACTTGGCAGAGTTGCTGTGAGCTCTCCATAAATGTTACTGCTGCTGCTGCCTCCTCAGTTATCTTACAAGTGAGGAATAATGGCTTGTGTGTGGTTTAGACACTGATTGGGACAGTCGTCTTGGTGCAAACTCCCTGACATGAGCTTTTGTTCCCATAAAGGCAGGGTGGCCAGTGCAGTGGGTGTGGATGTGCCTGATGATATGAAGAGCCGAATCCCTGTGGTGCTCCTGGCCTGTGGCTCCTTCAACCCCATCACCAACATGCACCTACGATTGTTTGAAGTGGCCAGAGACCACCTCCACCAAACAGGTCAGTCAGAGACCCCGAGTCCTGCAGAATTGGTGGGTTGGGCCTCGTGGGGCTTTGCTGGCTGCTGACATCGTCACCATTAGTAAAACTGCTTAGCTGATTGTTCACCGTATCATCTGTGGCATACAGGTCTTCCATCCTGTGCAGAGGGCTGGCACCCCTGTAGCTATGTGTAGGTCATGTCCCTGGCCGTAGAGTTGGACGTATCTCAGGGTCCCTCCTCCCCACATACCTCACACTGGTGAATGATAAAAGGACACCAGGCACTTTATGGAACCTGGGCCTCAATCTGAGCCTCCTTCCTGGTGCTCCCAACAGTTCCCTAAGTAGCCAGGTGAATGAAATGTGTCTCATGTGTCTTTGAAAGCTCCCACTGCTCTTCCGTGGGTAAGCAAGCATTCAGTAATGGGGATTTTGACATTTTCTCCTTTTGAACAATAGATCTTAGACAGCTATAAATTAGCAATCTTAGTAAAGAGCATGGCTAATACAGATGGCATGACTTTGCCCAAAATATTTAGTCAACTAAGAATATGTAATCTGGGAGTGTTTCATCTCCTTGACCTTCCATTTCATTATTAAGGAAGTGAAATGACATTCACAATTATTTCCAAAGATTGTAAGTCATTTATATATTGATATCAGGTGCATTTGAAAATATTTGTTATAGGTTTATGTATGTTTTGTGTATTCATAAATATATTTTGTATTATTGTATTCTTCAAGACATTTTGCCTTTAAGGGTATGTTTATACCAGAATCAATTCCTGTTTACTTTTAATATAGAAAAAAGGATTTGAGGTACATATCAATCATTTCTTCGTGGAAATTTTTCCTAAGTATTAGTTTATTTTTTAAAAAATGCCTTTGTTTATGAATTTTTGTTGTTGAAAAGAATAAAGTGAATATCTATTCTTAGTAAATAAATAGCTCTTACAAAGGAATTTTTAAATTCTGAACAATGCCATTAAAATTGGTCACTGGACATCAGTAAGCAGTGTACTACAAAATAATTATAAATGGCCAGTAAATTTTGGGACTGATGCTTCAATCACTAATAGCCACTGAAAATGAAGATAAAAACATGATAAACACCACAAGGTTATAAGCACCATGAGGACAGCTTCTGTGGCTGCCTGATACCATTACCACCATCTGTTACTGGACCAGTAGTTGGAGGCCACTAAACATCAGTTGTGGAAATCAATGGTCTCAGCCTATGAAATTGGCAAAGATTAAGGACTGACAGAATTTAGTACTGGCAGTATGGGGGACACTCTCACATATTGGTAGTGATAAATGATGAAACACTTTTGGAGGAATAGTTAGTAATCTATGACAAAAAAAGAACCTGTACTATACTCATAATGAGGAAAAAATCAACAAATGAAAACTGAATCAGAACTGACAAAAGATGACAGATGTTGGAATGAGCAAGGAGATGAAAGCAGTTATGCTAGTTCTGTTTCACATGTTCAAAAGTTAGACACGTGAAAAGCATACAGAGGACCTGACCAAACTTCTAGAGGTAAAGACTCTAATGTGTGAGTTGAAAATACACTGGATAGGATTAATAACAGACTAGACATTGCAGGAGAAAAGGTAGGAGAACATGAAGACATAACAGTAAAAACTGTCCAAAATGGAATACAGAGAGAAAAATACAGGAAGAGTATCAATTATATGTGGGACTGCTTCAAGTACTTTCTATCAGAATCCCAAAAGGACAAAACAAAAGCTAGTGGGGGAAAAGTTACAGGAAATAATGACTGAAATTTTTCCAAATTTGATCCAAGTAGATCAACAGACTCCTGTCACAAGAAACCTGAAGAAAACCACATTAAGGCATATGATAAGCAAATCAAATTTCTCAAAACCAGGAATAAGACAAAATCTTCAAAGCAGCCACAAAAGAACAAACTAAGAATGACAATATATTTCTTGTAGCTGAATGCAGGAAAAGTAAATTCAGTGAAATAACATCCTTAAAGAACTGAAAGACAAAACTATCAACCTAGCTGATCCAGCAAAAATACTTTCCAAAACCAAAAGTTAAGACATTTTCATGTACACCAAAGTTAATTGAACTCACCACCAGGAAACCTGAACTACAAAAGCATGCTGATTTCCTTTAGGTAGAGGAAAATGATACCAACTAGAAATGTGAATCTACACAAGGAATATAGAGCATTAGAGATGATAAAGACATGGCATAGTATATAAGCTTTTCCTATTACTTAGATTTATTTAAAGGGTAATTGATGTTTAAGCAAAAAATTATAATGTACTTTGGGTTTATAACATGATGCAGAAGTAAAGTATATACCAACAATCACAAACAGGCTAGGATGGGTACCATGGAAGTATGCCATATGTAAAGTGGTATGACATCACTTAAAGGCAGACTGTGACAAGTTAAATATATACATGTTAAACCCAAGCAAACAGAAGAAATAAAACAGAATAATCAAAATATACTCAGGATTTAAAAGAAGACAATAGAAAAAGAAAGCAAGTGAGATGAGAGCCTTAAACATAACTCTATAAATGACATTAAAAGTCTAATGACTTCTAGTAATTGGCAGATTGAATATTTGATAAAATAAGCTAAACTCAAATATATTCAGTGGTTTCCCCCTTACCCACTTACCAAGACTGCCAGTGGATATCTAAAACCACAGCTAGTACCAAACTTTGCATGCTATGTGTTTTCCTAGACATACCTACTTACGATGAAATTTAAGTTATAAACTAGACATAGTAAAATATTAGCAACAAGTATTTATAATAAAATGGAACAACTATTATAATACTGTAGTAGTTACTTAGGACGTATGAATTGCTTAACTCTGGAATCTTCCATTTACTATTTTCAGGCTGCCGTTGTCCTCAGGTAACTGACTTTGGAAGCAAAGCTGTATGAGGAGGGACTATGTTCAAGCAGTGCAGTTTAAATATGAAAACACAGACAGGTTCAAAGGAAAAGGTAGAAAACTATCCCATACTAACACTAATTTGAAGAAAGGTGACGTGGATATAATAATATCAGAGAAAGTAGATTTCAGAGGAAAGAATACTTCCAGGGATAAAGAAGATCATTTCATACTATGAACTTATAAACTCAGATTCAAAATTCCCTGACAAACTATTTCAAAACTAGCCCAACATAAAGGATAATATAATCAATGACAGTAATTATCTCTGAGATGCAAGATTAATTCAGTATTCAAAAACGAGTCAGTGCAATTCCATATATTAACAAACCAATATGATTCTCTTAAAAGACACAAGAAAGATTGACAACATCAGTCCATAATTTAAAAATAAAATCCAGCAAAACAGCAAGAGATAAAAACTTCCTCAGTCCACTTAAAAAAATCTATGAAAAACCTACAATCAACATTCTTAATAGTGAAAAACTGAATTCTTTATCCCCGAAAATCAGGAAAAGAGAATAATGTCCATTCTTACCACACTGTTCAACACATTCTAGAGGTTGTAGCCAAAACAATAAGGCAAGAAAAAGAAATAAAATCATACAGGTTGGAATGGAAAAATGGAACCATTTACAGATGATGTAATCATCTGTAGAGAAAAATTCATGGAAATCTATAATAGGTGAGTTTGGTAAAGTTATCACATACAAAATAAATATATTAAAATCAATTATGCTTCTACATTACTAGCAACAAAGGATTGTAAAATGAAATTTAAAAAATACTATTCATAAAGGCATTAAAATGTTATTAACTTATTTTTAATATTTCAGAAAGCATTGAAAAATACTTAGGAATAAGTCTGACAAAGGTATACAAGACTATGCAATGAAAGCTACAAGATATTGCTGAAGGATATTAAAGACATCCTAATTAAAATGGAGAGGTACTTCGTTCATGAGTTGGAAGACTCAACAATGTTAATATTTTATTTTTCTCCAGATTTCTCTCTAAATTTAACTCCTATGCACTTTGTTGGTAGAAACTGATAAGCCAGTTATAAAAATCAAAATATCCTAGAGTAGCTGAAATAACTTTGGAAAAGGGCAGTGTTGAAAGATTAGCACTATCTGATTTCAAGATTGGTATTAAGATAGCTAAGTGGATCAGTGGGACAGAATGTAAAGTGCACAATTTGACCCCCACTTACACAGACAACTGATCTTTGACAAAGATGTGAGGACAACACAGTAGAGAAAGGGTAGTCTTTCCAAGAAATAGTATTATAACAACTTAATATTCATATGCAAAAAGCCAATTCATAGCTCACACCTATACATAACTAATTCAAAATGGTTTGTAAACTTTATTGTGAAACTTAAACTATAAATTCTCTAGAAGAAGTTTTGGAGGTGTGGCTCAAATGGTAACACACTTGCCTAGCTGGCTCAAGGCCCTAAGCTCAAACCCTAGTACCACAAGAAAGAAAGAAAAAAATTACAGGAGAAAATCTTTGTCACCCTAGGTCAGGTAAATATTACTTAGGAAAACCAAAGCATGATTAATAATGAAAAAGTGACAAGTTGAACTTCATCAAAATTAAAAGATAACTCTTCAAAGACACAGTTAAGAGAATGACAAGACAAGCCATAGACTGGAAGAAAGAGTTGCAAAGCATTATTTGATGACGTACTAGTGTTCAAATCACACAGGAACCTCAACTCAGTAATAAAATAAGTAAATGGTCCAGTTATTCAGCTAGATTCTTCACAAAAGAAGATACACGGATGGCAAATAAGTGCCTGAGCGATGCTCAGTAGCCCAGGGGAAACACAGATTAAGACCACAGTGTGATACCACTGCACATCCTAAGACCAACCATGCCAAGTATGGCAAAGGACAGGGGACATCTGAGGTTCTCCAGCACTGCTGTGGGGCCGTAAATCATGCAGTGACTGTGGAAAAGAGCTTGGCAGTTTCTTAAAAGTTAACTGCACATCTTCTGCATGATTCAGCTGTTCCTCTCTTAGGTATTTACCCAGGGAAGATGTTTGATCATTCAGA